AACAGCCGCTGTACTCTTGCTTGAACTATTTTTTCTTGGTGGAAGCTTTGCGTTTGTTTAGCTAATAACATATTAAAACTCGATTCAAAATGGTGTACAATTATTTAAGTATGTCATCCTGGTATCGCGGACTCGCTCGTTTCATACAAACGCAGCTGCTTCCATTTTGCTACGATTGTTTTGTACGCTGTAATGGATTATAAGAGAACTAACAAACTGGTAAGGTTTTAAAACAGATTACAGTAGCATTTACTCCATAAAAATTATCGCATTACTTATAACTAATTAATTTCTAAATCCCATATCATCCTCGACCAGTTGAACAATACAAGATTAGACATGAAATAGCTATTTACATTTTTTTTTTTCAAATAAATATGAAATTGCATAAATTATTCTTGAACTGACTAAAGTATTTAAAGGGAGGCTGCATTGACATTTTAACATTAGATGTTACATTTTGATGTTAAATCCACTGTTTTTAGGGATGTAACGATTCACTCAACTCACGATTCGATTTTCTCACGATTTTTTTGTTTTTACATGATGAGATTGAAGACATTATCCAGTAGTAAATGAAAAGGTGTCATTTTATTAGGCTATTGCTGCCCGTTTCTTTGTGAAATTGAAATATAACAAAACTAAATTGAAATTTTAAAACAAACTCCCAAATCAAGCAAGTAAGTTACACAAATAAAATAAATCTCTTAATATGAAAAAACTAAGGCTTTGTCTGTGCTCTTGCCATTTAAAATTAGAGGCAGGCAACCACTGGATTTAATCATGATCCAAACAAAGATGCAGCATACATGCAGCATGAGTAGTTTTTAATCTAAATTATTACACGGCTCTGTGGAATACTTGATTCTGATTGGTCAGTTGCGACATTCCGAGGTATGCTATCCCTCGATAACAACCGGTAAAAGCTAATAACACAGGCTCATCCGGGTAACAGCAGTCGGCGCTGTACTCTTGCTTGAACTATTTTTTCTTGGTGGAAGCTTTGCATTTGTTTAGCTAATAAAATATTAAAACTCGATTCAAAATGGTGTACAATTATTTAAGTATGTCATCCTGGTATCGCGGACTCGCTCGTTTCATACAAACGCAGCTGCTTCCATTTTGCTACGATTGTTTTGTACGCTGTAATGGATTATAAGAGAACTAACAAACTGGTAAGGTTTTAAAACATTTTCGTCTTAATTCTTTTATTGCCTTAATTATTTTTGTGGTGAAATGTTGTGTAATAAGTGGTTTGACTGCACCGTTTCCCTTAATTAAATGTCCGTCTAGTTTGAATTTGCTGCTTGCTCGCAACTGCTGTCTTCACGGAAGCTTTGCGTTCAAATATTTCAACTCAAATCAATATTTCGCGTCTAATTTTTTACTTATGTGGCAAGTAGCCGTGTAATAAGCGGCTGGATGTACATTATCCCTTACTTAACAAATGAAACCATATTATAAGTGTTTTCTATAAAACACTGTTCCACATGCAATACCCACAACGCACTGCAGCGGTCATACCAGGCCTGATACCCAAGTGGTTGCTAATTTGTTGCTGTCTGCTTATGCTGTCAAGACTAGTGTTGACTAGTTGTTTTGATTTGAATGTAATCCCTGATCACATGAGCTTTCCTCTCTGTTGGATTGTCTCTGTAGCTGGCGAATGGTGTTTTATCTGGCGGCGTTCATTGGTGGAATCATAGCCCTGTATGATGTGAGTTTATCCTCTTCTCATATCCTTCTGCATGTCTGAAGTAAGAAATATGTGAAAATTGTGCCTGTTTTCCTGTTCTGATGATTGACATGCTTTTGGCCATTGAAGCTGATCTGTGATCTGTTGAGAAATCTAATGTATTTGTGACAGATGAGCACTGTGGGAAATGCAGAGCAATTTGGAACACACTACACAGGCAGCATCGTACAAATAGTGTGCATGCACAGCGCTCAGGAAGGACGCAACAATTGATTTTAATAGAATTTGTGTTATACTGCTAAGCTAATGACAATGCATAGTTATACAAATATTGGGTAAACAAATTCATTTTTATTGAAACTAAATTGTGTGTATTGATTGTACTCTTGGAATTATTTGAAATCATTTTTAAACATATTTATATTTGGATTATTGCAATGCATTATTATGGCAGTGGTTCTCAGTCTTTTTGACTCCATTATCCACAATATTTGAAGGCCCCCTAGACCTAGTTTTCAAATTTATTTTAATTTAAAGACACTCATTGCTTCTGTAAATTAAAAAAAAGTAACTAAAACTATATTAATTCTAATAATTAAAATAATTAAATGTCATAATTGTATTTTGTTCAAGAGTGTTTTAAGAGCTTAATGTTCTCCACTCTTTTTAACCTATGAATTTACATGACTTTTCCAGTCAACATGATTTAAGGATAAGGATTTAAAAAATATTAGATTTTTTTATAAATATAAAAAACTCACACTTTTAAAATTAGGTCTCCTCATATCCATTTTCAAAGACCGTAAGAACCCTTGAAAAGAAAACACAGTTGTTGATAAACAGCTGTTGAGAGGTCAAATTAAAATAAGAAATACTTTTTTTTTGTAGTTTTAGCTTATTTTAATTTATTTGTTATCTTGAGGCCCCCTTGGAAATCTGCAGAGGCCCCTTTATTGAGAACCACTGCATTATGGGATTTCCACAAGTGTTTGGCTTTAGAAGTCTTTGTGTTTGGATTGTGCCTGTGATGCCTTAAAACGACGCCTAAGTAGGCAGCATACTAGGTTTTAGAACACAGCCACCTTGCAGCTCCAAAAACGGTCATAAATAAGTAAAAAGCCAATGTTCCGTGTTCCATAAAGTTGAATATTGATTTGTCTATTTATTACAGAAACCCTGGTTTTATAATTTGAGGGAGGTGTGGAATGGCTATCCCAGACAGGTATGTTCCAGTCTTCAGATCTTTAATTTGCTTGTATTTGTTCCAAGGGATATTTTATTGTTCATATCACCTGCACTAATAAGAGCAGGCGAGATATTGTTCACTTTGACCCGGCCCCGATAAAGGGTTCACACAACACTCAAATTTACGGCACGGCTAATAAATAAGGCAGATAATAAGGCTCACGCTAGTTCCAAATCAAACATGGCCATATTTAGAAGAAAGATATCTTTTTTTGGCCCAGCTGAAGGTTTTATTTGGATCCGTTCACACTTGTTATGTGAGTTCCAGGTTGCAATCAAAAGAACAGTGATGTCATTCAGATTGGCACTCAAAACATTGAGTTTCCTAGAATAATCATTCCAAAAAAAAAGAGCCATCTTCAAACTCCCGCTGCATCAAAGCACAATGAATTACATAAAATTCACATTGAGTTATAGCTCGGATCAATCAGAGTCTTTTACTTTTTCCGTCATAAAAATGTAGCGGTGGTCATCTCTTGTTATGGTGCATGTTTCTGAGAGCGTATTGTTGTGTTTTTGCTCCTGCAGTCCGTGCTAGATTCTCAGTACTGGTATTATATTTTGGAGATGAGCTTCTATTTTTCGCTAGTGCTCAGAATAACCTTCGACGTCAAACGAAAGGTGAGTATCATGTGACACCACACTATCTTTTAACTACATGAAATCTTTTAAATTATATTTCAAACTGTTTCGTCTGAGCCTAACCATTTATCACAAGACCTGAAATAATGATCTATCATTTAAAGCCAGATTGATTTGTTGTTGTTTTCATCTCATCTACTTTTTCTCTGTCACTGAGAATGATTGTGAAAACTTTCCGTGAATGTTTCTCATATATATTTACTTCAGGACTTTAAAGAGCAGATCATCCATCATTGGGCCACGCTGACGCTCTTGGCTTTCTCCTGGTGTGGGAACTACATCCGGGTCGGGACCCTGGTCATGCTCATTCACGATTCCTCTGACATTCTTTTAGAGGTTAATGATACACCAAATCTTATTTTATTTGATTATTCTTTATTGTATTTTTAGCCATTTACACTCTTAAAAATAAAGGTGCTTAAAAGGTTCTTCACAGCGATGCCATAGAAAAACCATTTTTGGTTCCACAAAGAACCATTCAGTCAAAGGTTCTTTAAAGAACCATCTTTTTCTCACCTTTTTATAATCTGAAGAACCTTCTTTCGCCACAAAGAAACTTTTGTGAAACAGAAAGGTTCTTCAGATGTTAAAGCTTCTTTCTGGAACCACTTAGACAAAAAGGTTCTTCTATGGCATCGTGAAGCACCCTTATTTTTAAGAGTGTACCCCTGTATTAGAGAGTGACAGGAAATTTGTTTGGTGGAATGAGTTCTGGAAACATTGCACATGTTTTTTTTTGTTTGAAAAAAACAAAAAACCTTTTGTTAAGGTTTAAACAATCAAAAACAGTGATGTCTCACCTTGCACTCAGGCAAAATACAACTTTAGTATAAACATATGCTCTAGAATGAGAAATGATGAGAATGAGGCTACTGGTTATTTAAAGGTGCCATAGAATGCATTGATACAATATTGCTCTGCTCTGATTGGCTGTTTCACAGTGCGGCTCATTTCAGTAGCTCACACAGCAGGAAGGAAACACAGGGAAAATATATATTTCAATACTTTCTCTCGAATTATCGTTGGGTAATTATACTGTATATAAAATGCGGACATCAGAGAGCCGCTATTAATATGCAGGGCATTGAAACTGCTTTCGAATGCACGATTCGCGTTTTACTTTCACTTTTGAGATTTGCGATCGCACGTGCTGTGTAAACTACAGCGGCAGTACTTACCACACATTTTACAAGATCAGATGCTTGTCAGTGGTGCTCAGGATCTGTAAATCATTTGCCTTTATCCTCAGTCATCTCTCCTTACTCTGTTTATGTGGTATCATTCGCCATCATCCTCAGTCATCTCTCCTTACTCTGTTTATGTGGTAAGTGAAATCTTATGTACTGTAATGTAACAGGCTACCGCTAGCAAGCAGCTAACATGTCCCTTTAGTGGCTCGCGCTATTTTATTAGAACGCGTTATTTGCTTTCAGTGCCTTTCTGAATACAGACACCAACCCATCCCTGCACATCTTTTTTATATCATTTTTTATTTAAAGTTTATTTTATTTCAAATAATAAAAGACTATATAGTTTTAGTTAACTGTAAAAACCCTGTACGAACTGCACCAGTTTGTTATTTTTGTGTTATTTCTCCGCAGTCCGCTAAGATCTTCAACTACGCCAAATGGGAAAGCACATGCAACGGCATCTTTGTGGTATTTGCTGCTGTCTTCATAGTCACACGACTCATAATCTTTCCATTTTGGTGAGAATTGTGTGACTATTATTTCCAAGCTCTGATAAAGAGTCTCAGGTGTATTTTACATAACGTACATGCATTATTTGTTTATTACAACTGATATTAAAAACTGTCTCTGTCTCATGCATCTTTATTCCAGGATCATTCACTGCACGTGGGTTTATCCTCCCGACTATTACCCGCCGTTCTTTGGATATTACTTTTTTAACTTCATGCTTGTCATCCTGTTGATGCTGCACATATTCTGGGCGTATCTGATTCTACGCATGGTGAAGATGTTCCTTTTTGGAAGTGTAAGTACTTCTACTTTTATATTTGGGACTTCATTTTTTTCAAATTGTCTTGTTTGACTTCTGATGATTCGGCTGTGCAGGTCCGGCTGGCGGGTGGCTGGCATAGAACATGGGCGGGTATATGCAAATGTTGGGGGCGTAACTATTAGTGATCCCGACTAACGTCACAGTCGGTGTTATGTTCTGATTCGCCTGTTTTTCAGTGGTCTTTTGAATGCACGAGATTTACATAAGAAGGAGATAACAATGGTGTTTGAGGCTCACGGTATGTCATTTCCATGTACAGAACTGTTAATATTCAACTATGCCAAGGTAAATACAGTTTTCCATTCTATGGCACCTTTAAAAAGTCCTCCAATATGTCACTCAAAAAACTTGTTTCTGTAGGGAATACATTTGTCAACCCATTTAATGTAGTGTTTATAAATGTCTGAAAAATGTAGAGTCGCTATTAAACACTGCAAACTGAACAACTGATGTTCTTATTGGTTTCATATGGTTAGCACCAGTGTTATCTAGTGAGAAACTATAGTTTTTACATTATTGTATGACCATTATTTCCAAGCTCTGATAAAGAGTCTCAGGTGTATTTTACATAGCATGCATGCATTATTTGTTTCTTTCAACTGATATTAAAAACTGTCTCTGTTGTCTCGTATACCTTTATTCCAGGATCATTCACTGCACGTGGGTTTATCCACCAGACTATTACCCACCATTCTTTGGATATTACTTTTTTAACTTCATGCTTGTCATCCTGTTGATGCTGCACATATTCTGGGCGTATCTGATTCTACGCATGGTGAAGATGTTCCTTTTTGGAAGTGTAAGTACTTCTACTTTTATATTTGGGACTTCATTTTTTTCAAATTGTCTTGTTTGAATGGTCCCACGTTACATTGGGTTAGCAAATAATTTTGGGTAGTCATATTTTGAGATTTATTTTTTTGCAAATGTTGTTTTTATTTTTATATGTTATGTTTTCATTTGAATTTTTGTAAAAGTTTTAGTATTTATTTTTATTTTTTAAAAATCATTTTTGTTTGTTTTAAATATGTCTATATTTATATTATTTCAATAGTATATATTATTTTTTATTTCAGGTTTAGCTAACTAAGTTTAGTTTTAGTTATTTTAGTACATAAAGTTAAACTAAATGAAAT